AAGATCCTAAGATTATCGGAATAAGAGATTCATCAAATCTCTTAGCAGGAAAACCATTTGATTCCACCCCTCGGTCCCCAGTCATGGGCAATGATGGGATTTAAAGACTCACTCCAATGCCACCGGTACCTGATTGGAGTGAGGGGCTGGAAGGTCAGGCTGGCCCTATCTTCATGCTTCCCTCTCCCTTTCCCTATTGGTTCCTTCCTTGTTTAGGTGATTGTCTTTTTGTCTTTCTGTCTCTAGCACAGATTCTCTGTCCCTTTGGGCATTAAGGCTTTGTCTTATTGCCCTTTGATTCTCTGTGATAATTCCATGGTGCTTTGTACAAAGAAACAGACTTTTCTAATGTAAGGAAACTGAATTGGAAAGAGGTTCCAGAGCAGGCCTTTTCATCATCAGCCTTGCTCCTGTCTGACAAACCCTTAAGAATAGAAATGTACCCTCAAGTGTAGAAGACCAGCCCTTCCTACACCATGCAAGTGACCTAGAAAGCTTAAAATTCAGGTCACTAAAGGAGTTGAAGACTCAAGAGTCAGAAGATCATTTACTCTCCCTTGTTTCCATATGTACCCCAAAAGTACCCTGGGCAACCCTTCAGCAAAAAAGCCATTTGTACTTAGTAGGTGCTCAGTAAATGCTAAAATAAGGCCATAGCATAGCTACCTTGAACACAGTAGGTACTCTATAAATAACTGTTAAATTGAGAAAGTCATGGCACATTATCTTTGTACACAATAGGTGTTCAATACATATCTATTCAACATAAAAGTTTGTAGTATATCTGCTTTGCATATAGTAGGTGCTCAATAAGTATTTTCTACATTAAAGTGATTGTAAGATAAGTGCCTTGCATACAATAAGCTCCCAGGAAATGGCTATTGAATGGAATAGTCGTGGACACTTTCTCTTTAGAGAACCCAGGTAGAGGTGACATTAATTAGCCCCGAGGCACAGATCCATGAATGCACATCTCCAGGTAGCACTTTGGAGTGTGCTGGGGAGGTGTGCGAGAGTAGGCCGGGAGCACTGCGCTCATTCGGGACACTGCCAACCCACTGCTGGCTCCCCGGGTAAAGCAATTGGAATCCATTCTCCACTGGGGGAGGAAAACAGCCACCACCTCTAGTTGTCACTTCGGGGCCTCACCTGGAACTCCTGCCACAGCCCTCTCCCAGGGCATCCACCCACCTGGACTTCTCCAGTTCTGGAGAGTAGGTGGCAGAACAAAAGCAAAAGTTGGCTTCCGATTGCTTTCCTGAGAGACAACAACCCGGAGGAGGCTGGGGAGCTGGGCTGGGACCCAGCTGTGCTGTCCTTCACAGCCTGGCCTCCTCACCCGGCTAAGGCTCCGGACTGCAGTGCTGGGGGAAGCAGCAGGATCCCCACTCACCACTCCCCTGGAGCCCCAGACTGGCAGAGTGGGCGCTTCACTGGGTGGGGCGGGGTGAGGGTGCTGTATTAACCCTTGAAGGAGGGAAGGAGGCTGGAGGGAAGGATAATAGGGGACCCCACAACCGAGATCCGAATCAAAGTCACAGTGTGAATCGCCCCTGGGTGACCCCAAGCGCGGTGGGACTGTCCTAGGGGTGAAGTCCCCTGGCAAGGCCCTGCCCGTCCATCCCCCTCCCCTAACCATGGCCAAGGGGGAGGAGGCCACCCACGGCGGTGGGCAGGTCCGTGGGAGACCCCGCCGCTCAGACACGCACTGGGCTGTCAGTGGCTTGGCCTTGGGGGTGGCGGGGCAGCAGAGTGAGCAAGGAAGTCTCATCTCTTCTCATCTCTTCCTTTCTCCCTGCTTCTCTGGAGCCTGCAGGCCTCCTAGTGGTGCTGGGAGAGGAAGCCAGCGGGAGAACTGCTGACCCAGGTGGGGCCCCAGAGCACCTTTGTCTGTGGCCATGGCCCAGCCAGTGAGCTCCTCAATGTATTTCTCCAATGTATTTGATTGATATCTCGTGTCTCCCTAAAATGTCCAGGCTGCACCTGACCACCTTGGGCACATGTTCTCAGGACCTCCTCAGGGCCGTGTCATGGGCCATGGTTCCTCATGTTTGGCTCCAAATAAATCTCTTCAAATATTTTACAGAGTTTGACTCTTCATCAACACAAAGAAGAAAAATGATAAAGCTAAGCATTAGACAAAAAAAAGAATGAAGGTTAAATAAAACAAATTTAAATAGGAGAAAGACATTGATCCACTAATACAGTTGGAGATTTCACTACCTCTCTCTATTGGTATAAGGAGAGCCAGCAGGCGGAAAAGCAGGAAGTACATAATGAATTGAACAGCACCATCAAACAACTGGACTTAATTCAAAAATAGAAAATTCAGTCAGCAACTGCAGAATAAACATTTTTCTCAGGTTCACATGGAACATTCACCAAGATGGCCCATATTCTGGAATTTAAACACATCTTAACAAATTTGAAAGAATAGAACTAATACAAAACATGCTGTCAGACTAACATGGCACCAATTCAGAAATCATTAATGGAAAGATAGCTTGAAAACCCATAAATGCTTGGGAGGTTAAACAATATGCCTCTATAAAATGTAAGGATCCAAGTTGTTTCAAGATATGTTAAAATTATTTCTAATTAAATAAAAATACAACATCAAAATCTGTGGAATGCAGCAAAAGACTAGAAGAAAATTTATACTACTGAGTACATATGATACAAAAATATATATATTCTGTGTCTAAACCTTAGAAAACTAAAAACTGAAGAGGCAACTGAACCCAAAGAAAGCACAGGCAATAAATAACAAGAGAAGCAATAAATGAAATTATGGAAAACCAATAGAAAAAAATCAACAAAAGCAAAAGTTGGTCTTGTCAAATGAACAATAAAATGGACAAATGTCTACTCAAGGTAACTGAGAAAAAAAGAGAAGACAAAAATTATTAATATGTCAAATAAAAGGGGGGGAAATGAAAATTAAAAAGCATTTGACGAAATCCAACATCCATTATGACAGCAAACTAAAAATAGAAACTTCTCTCTTTGAGAAACAACACCTACAAGAAACCTGCAGTTACCATGATGTTGGAAATAAATGCTCAGTGCCACAAAGTGAAACTAGCAATCAGGCAAAAGTTTTCTCGGGAAGGCAAATTTACTTCTGCAGCAGAAGGGTGCTGCTTGTGTCAATCACGATCACAAGAGCACAATGAACAAAGGAGGAAAAGGGCTTTTATTCCTAATGTAACCCCCACCTCTGTGTCACTCCCCCATGGGGCTGGGCTCAGACCGGACATTCTAAGTTGACCCGATTGGCTATTTGTGAATACTTTCCCAAATAAGGAAGGGAAGGTGGCTGTGAGTTACAGTGGTGGGACGTGAGGTTTTGAAGGGAGGAAGGGAGGAGTGGGTAACCAAGGGAACAGATGTGAGTTATTGATTAGAGCTGATGGGAAGGTTGTTCACAGTAACTAGGGGCAAGGAAGAATAGAGAACAAGAAATTTGAGTTTGAGAACAAAGAACAAGGAAGTTAACAGGCTAAACATTTGAAGAGGAATTTATTGTATCCTAGAATCACACTGTTGGTGAGAAGCTAGATGCTTTCCTGGGAACATGACAAAGAAGGCAAGGAAGTTGCCTCTCACCAAACAAGGTGAGGAAGTTAACATTGCTCTAGAAGTCCTAGCTAATGCAGTAAGACAAGGAAAGGAAACAAATGCTATACAGATTGGGAAAGTCTTTGTTGCACATATCATTGTCTACGTAGAAAATCTAAAAACAGGCCAGGCACGGTGGTTCATGCATGTAATCCCAGCACTTTGGGAGGCTGAGGCAGGCAAATCATGAGGCCAGGGGTTTGAGACCAGCCTGGCCAACATGGTGAAACCCCATCTCTAGTAAAAATACAAAAAATTAGTTGGATGTGGTGGTGGACACCTGTAATCCCAGCTACTTGGGAGGCTGAGGCAGGAGAATCGCTTGAACCTGGGAGGCAGAGGTTGCAGTGAGCTGACATTGTGTCACTGCATTCCAGCCTGGGCAACAGTGTGAGACTCCATCTCAAAAAATATATAAAAAAAGAAAAAAGAAAAAAGAAAATCTAAAAGCATCCACAACAACAAAGAAAACTCCTGGAACTATTAAGAGTATAACAAAGCTGAAGTAAAAGGTTAATATAAAAAAGTCAACTGCTTTCCTACAGTCACACAAATTGTAAACTGATCTTTGGTAAAAAACAAAAACAGAAAAAAAAACCAAAAACAGAAAAAAACCATAGGGAATCCAATGATTAAAAGATAGCAACAAATAGTATGATAACTATATGAAAATAGTATATAACCACATGAAAAACAATCTAGACATACACTTAAGACTTTTCATAAAAATTGACTCAAAACAGAACATTGGCATAATCATAAGATGCAAAACTCTATAACTTTTATAAGATAACATAGGAAAAAATCTAGATGGCCTGGGGTTTTATGATAAATTTTTAAATAATTGTAAGTTTGACTTCATTAAAATAAAAAAAAACTCTTCTTCTTGAAAAAATGTTGATAAGTGAATGAAAAGACAAGCCGCAAACTGGGAGAAATTCTTTGCAAAACACTTATCTGATAAACAACTTGCATCCAAAAATAAAAAAGAATAATTAAAACTTAACGATAATAATATAAATGACAAAACTAGAAATGGGCGAAAGATAGGCACATACACATCACCAAAGATTTAGAGATGGAAAATAAAAAGATGCTCAACATGATATGGCATTAGGTAATTAAAATATAACTGAAAGAGATGTCAGTACACGCTTATTGGATTGCTACATTTCACAACACGGAAAACACCAAATGATAATGAAGATGGTGAACAACTAATTCTCATTCCATGGTGATGGAAATGGAAAATCGTACACCTACTTTGGAAGATAGTTTCTTATAAAACAAAACAGGCACTTGCAGATGTGTGGTTCTGATGTTGACACTGATGGTGGGTGGCACATATGTCAAGAGAGTATAAAAAGGCTCATACTCACATGATTGAGGGCTCAGGGAGAGCAGAGCAGGCCTCTCCAGCAGGTGTGAAATGACTGGAGGCAGCAAGGGGAAAAGTTCAACCTGGGTGTTCATTGTGGTTATCAGGTGAGGTCAGAGCAATGGGGCAGGGCCCTGTGTGTTTGGAATCTCCTGCTTGCTCTATAAGGAACCCACCATCAGGCTTTCTCATCTGCTTGTCCAGGTGCGGGGTGCTCTAGGAAAAGAGAGGTGACACTTAAGCTGTCATTGGCCAGACATAAAAAAAATGTGCAGTGTGACTACTCATTATAATAAGACCAAACATGGCTAAGAAAAATAGGTGTTCACAATTGCTTGTTCTTATATAAAGGAGCACAGTAAGGATGCTCAAGTCACCTACACTGCTTATTCTGGGGTGGCTGAATTGAAAGCACTGGAGTGGACAAGGATATGTTGGCAGTTGAGTCTTCTTAAGCTAGAATTGCCAAGCTTATAAAAAATTTAACAGCTATTACAAGCATTAGTTTTATTAAATAGAAAGAAATTTCTTTCACAGAGGGAGCTCTGAAACAAATGAAAAAAAAATTAAAGAACTATGTAAACCACATGTTACTTTCAAAAGCCTTTACCTTTTTAAAAAATGTTAACTTTTCTTACAGTCCATTCTAGGACTCACTTTTTAAACACTACCAGTTATGGAACTGCAATCACAAAATATGAAAATTTCCAATTTCTTTTTTTTTTTTTTTTTTTTTGGAGGCGATGTCTCGCTCTGTCACCCAGGCTGGAGTGCAGTGGCATGATCTCAGCTCACTGCAAGCTCCGCCTCCCAGGTTCCTGCCATTCTCGTACCTCAGCCTCCTGAATAGCTGGGACTACAGGTGCCCACCACCACGCCCGGCTAATTTTTTTGTATTTTTAGTAGAGACGGGATTTCACCGTGTTAGCCAGGCTGGTCTCCATCGCCTGACCTTGTGATCCACCCACCTCGGCCTCCCAAAGTGCTGGGATTACAGGCATGAGCCACCGCGCCCGGCTTTCCAATTTCTTTCTAAGATTACAAAGGGCATCACAGTTTGGTGATGACTATTTAGGTACAACACCAAATGCGCAATCCATTAAAGAAAAAATTGTTAAACTGGTCTTCATTAAAATTAAATCTTTCGGCTCCACAAAAGATATTGTGAAAAGAAGAAAAAGAGAAACCACAGACTGAAAGATTTGCAAAAGACATCTAATACATGACTATTGTCCAAAACATATAAATATCTCTTAAAATTCAACAAAAAGGAAACAACATGACTCAAAAAAAAAAAAAAAAAAAATGGGCCAAATACCTTAAGACACCTCAGTAAAGAAGATATACAGATAAAAATAAACATATCAGAAGATGCTTCATATAATATTTTATCAGAGAAATGCAAATTCAAGCAACAACAGATATCAATTCTTACCTATTATTGAATAGGTATAGGTATAAACTCAATTTAAACGTATTATTTGGCCATGATTGAATGGCCAAAATCCATAATACTGAAAACAGCAAATGCTGGTGAAATCGCGGAGAAACAGAAACTCTCATTTATGGTGAGTAAGGATGTAAAACTATGCAGCCAGTTTGAAAGAAGGTTTGCAGTTTCTTACAAAACTAAAAATCCCCTTCCAATAATATCCAGTAATCATGATTCTTGGTATTTGCTCAAAGGAGTTGAAAAATTAAGTTCACCCCAAAGCTTGTACATGGATGTTTATAAATCTTTATTTATAATTGCGAAAACTTGAAAGCAGCCAAGATGTCCTTCAGTGAATGAAAAGATAAACTATGGTACCTCCACAAAATTGAATATTGTTAATTTTTAAAAAATTTTTGAGATGAAGTCTCACTCTGTCACCCAGGCTGGAGTGCAGTGGCACGATCTCGACTCACTGCATCCTCCACCTCCTGGGTTCAAGAGATTCTTCTGCCTCAGCCTCCCAAGTAGCTGGGACTAGAGGTGCGTGCCACCATGCCTGGCTAATTTTTTGTGTTTTCAGTAGAGATGAGGTTTCACTGTGTTAGCCAGGATGGTCTCGATTTCCTGACCTCGTGATCCACCTGTCTCAGCTCCCAAAGTGCTGGGATTACAGGCATGAGCCATCATGCCTAGCCCACATGCATATTTCATAAATTCTTTTGTTCTAAACCTTATCACAAGTTACAAATTTCTGCCTTGCCCTATACTTCCTCTTTCTTACACAATGAATAATTTTAGTATAGTACAAAAAATTACCACAAAATATGCTCTCTCATATGAAATTATTCTCTTTTCTTTTTAAACTTTCTTGCTAGAAATACATCTTCATATCCATAACTTTCTTTACATCTCTCCTACTTACTGGTTTCTATCTTGTGATTTTTTCCCCAATTCCGTATTTGACAACAGCCTTTCAATAATCTTTAAGTTCAACAAAATTATTCTTTATCTCAACAAAGAACACATATTTATAGCTTTCAGAGTGAGACCTTAGCTCTACAAAAAATAAAAAAATTAGCTGGGTGTGGAGGCATGTGCCTGTTAGTCCCAGCTACTTAAAAGGCTTAGGTGGGAGGACTTCTTGAGCCTGGGAGGTCAAGGCTGCAGTGAGCTGAGATTGAGCCAGTGCACTCCAGCCCAGGCAACAAAATGAGACCTTGTCTCTCACACACAGAAATACATATATTTGGCCGGGCACAGTGGCTCATGCCTGTAATCCCAGCACTTCGGGAGGCCGAGGTGGGGGGATCATGAGGCCAGGAGAACTTGCCACCTGGAAGGGAAGGACACAGGCCTGGATGGCTTTGCCACCTGCTGACTGTAGAGCCCCCAGGCCTTGAGCAAACATAGGCAGTAGTCAAGGAGTGGTTAAGACAGGCCTTGGGCAAGACCCAGCACTGTGCTGGCTTCAGGTCTGACCCAATGCAGTCACAGTGGTGTTGGCCACAGGGCTGCTTCTGTCACTCTACCCCTAGGCTTTAGGTGGCTCAGAAAAGAGACCATGACTCTTTATGTTTGGAAAGAAGTAAGGGAACAGAATCAGAGTCTCTGCTTGGCAATCAAGAGAATTCTTCTGGATCTTTCCCAAGACCATCAAGGTAATACCTGTACAAGTCCACATGAACCCAAAACATTACTGGGCTTGGGGTGTCTCCTAAAGATTGTTACACCCAAGTCATTTCAAATATATGAAAAGCCTTCCCAAGAAGGATGGCTACAAATAAGCCCAGATAGTGAAGATTACAATAAATACCAAACTCCTCAATGCCCAGACAGAGATGAACATCTGCGAGTAAGAAGACCATGCAGGAAAACATGACCTCACCAAATGAACTAAATAAGGCACTGGAGACTCATTCGGGAGAAACAGAGATATGTGACCTTTCAGACACAGAATTCAAAATAGTTGTGTTGAGGAAACTCAAAGAAACAAGATAACACAGAGAAGAAATTCAGAATTCTACTGGATAAATTTAACAAAGAGATTGAAATAATATTTAAAAATCAAGCACGAATTCCAGAGCTGAAAAATACAACTGACATGCTGGAGAATGCATCAAAGTCCTTTAATAGCAGAATGGATCAAGCAGAAGAATTAGTGAGCATGAAGACAACTTATTTGACAATACAGTCAGAGGAAACAAAAGAAAAAAAACACAATAAAGTATGTCTACAGGATCTACAAAATAGCCCCAAATAAGACATATTGGCCTTAAAGAGAAGGTAGAGAACAAGAATGGGGTAGAACATTTATTCACAGGGGTGACAACAGAGAACTTCTCCAACCTAGAGAAAGATATCACATCCAAGTACAAGCAGGCTATACAACACCAAACAGATTTAACCCAAAAAAAAGAGTATCTCAAGGCATTTAATAATCAAACTCTTGAAGATCAAGGATAAAGAAAGGATCCTAAAAGAAGCAAGAGAAAAGAAACAACATGCAATGAAGCTCCAAAAGGTCTGGAAAAACTCAGAATAGTATGACACTGTATTGTGGTGTATAAACTAGTCTTATAAATAGAAAGACTAAATAATGAACCAATCAAAATAATAACCACAACAGGTTTTCAAGACATAGTCAGTACAGTAAGATATAAATAGAAACAACAAAGTTAGAAAGCATGAGGACAAAGTTAAGGCAATTGCTATAGAAATTTTAAATATATACACACCCAACATGGGAGCACTCACATATATAGAGGGAATATTCTCAGAGCTAAAGAGAGAGATGGGCCCCAATACAATAATAGCTGGAGGATTCAACACCCCATGTTCAGCACTGGATAGCTCTTCCAGACAGAAGATCAACACAGAAACATTAAACTGAAACCGCACTATAGAACAAATGAGTCCAACAGATATTTACAGAACATTTCACCCAAGAACTGCAGAATACACACACTTTACCTCAGCACATGGATAGATCATATGTTAGGTCACAAACAAGTCTTAGAACGTACAAAAAATTGAAATAATATCAAGCACTTTCTTGCACCACAATGGAATAAAAGTAGAAATCTATAGCGAGAGGAATTTTGGAAACTACACAAATACACAGAAATTAAACAATCTAATGATGCATCTTTATAAACTGGAAACGCAATAGTAAACCAAACCAAAATAGTAGAAGAAATAATAAAGATCAGAGCAGAAATAAATGAAATTGAAATGAAAAATAACATACAAAAGATCAATGCAACAAAAGCTGGTTTTTTGAAAAGTTAAACAAAATTGACAAATTTTAGCCAGACTAAGAAAAAAAGAGAGAGGATCTAAATAAATAGAAATGAAAAGAAGACACTGTAACTGATACGGTGGAAATTCAAGGATCATTAGTGGCTACTCTGAGAAACTATATGCCAATAAATTGGAACATTTAGAAGAAATGGACAAATTCCCAGGCACATACAACCTGACAGGATTGAATCAGGATGAAATCCAAAAGCTGGACAAACCAATAACAAATAATGAGATTGAAGCCATAATAAAAAGTCTTCCAGTAAAGAAAAGCCCAGGACCTGATAAATTCACTGCTGAATTCTACCCAACATTTAAAAAAGAACTAACACCAATCCTCCTCATACTGTTTCAAAAAACAGAGAAGGAAAGGATAATTTCCAACTCATTCTAGGAGGCCAGTACTACTCTGATATCAAAACCAGACAAAGACACATCTAAAAAAGAAAAACTACAGGACAACTTCTCTGGTGAATATTGATGCAAAAATCCTCAACAAAATACTAGCAAACCAAATTCTACAATACATTAGAAAGATCATCCATCATGACCAAGTGGGATTTATCCCTGAGATGCAAGGATGTTTCAACATATGCAAATCAATCAACATGACACATCTTATCAACAGAATGAAGAATAAAACCATATAATAATTTCAATGGACAGTGAAAAATAATTTGGTAAAATTCAACATCCCTTTATAATAAACAAAAAACTTGATATAGAAAGAGTGTATCTCAGCATAATGAAAGTCATGTAAGACAGATCCGCAGCTAGTATCATACTGAATGGAGAAAAACTGAAAAAGCCTTTCTTCTAAGATCTGGAACACAACAAAGATGCACGCCGTCACCACTGTTATTCAACCTGGTACTGGAAGTCCTAGCTAAAGCAATTAGACAAGAGAAAACTAAAAAGAGCATCCAAATTGGAAAGAAAGAAGTCAAATGATCCTTTTTTGCTGATAATATGATCTTATATTA